CAATCACAGAATTTTTGCATGTTGCCATTTACTACTGAGGAGAATGTGACTGAACAATCATGGATGAGTAGAGAAAGAAAGGACACTTAGTGGTGTTTGAGCTAGGACTCTATTCTATTGGAATAGAGTCCTAGCTTATTGGGGTTCTCTGTGAGTATCTGTAAGCTTCTGACAGAATGAACAGAGTACATCCACATTTCCTTCTGTTAGCTGTTTCCTTGGCTGAAGAGACAACTTTATAGTCAAGGATGAGTACAGAAAGAAAGGACACTTAGTGGTGTTTGAGCAAGGATTGGAATAGAGTCCTAGCTTATTGGGGTTCTCTGTGAGTATCTGTAAGCTTCTGACAGAATGAACAGAGTACATCCACATTTCCTTCTGTTAGCTGTTTCCTTGGCTGAAGAGACAACTTTATAGTCAACCTAGTTGATGTGAGTAGTTAATGTTTCAATGCAGAATGTTTTGATTGTTTTAATTTTGAATGTCTTGTTTTCTTCAGTTCATTTGACTGAAGAAGCAGTCATAAGGAGTTATCTTCACAGGTTAAACGAGAGCTCCTGTAGTTACATGAGCATGTACACACAGTTTATCAGACGTGTATGTTTTTCTGTCTGACGTGGAATTTTTTTTTTCCTTCCTAGAAGAGTTATGTGGTGTTAATTACATGAATATAACTTGCTTTTGATTATGAGTGCATGAGAAAAATTTCTGAAAGGATATAGGTTTTTTGTCTTAAAAGCAGTATTTATTTAACATACATTTAACTGCTTTTGACTGAGCTTAAAAGTTTTGTCATGTGTGAAGTAGCAGCTTCACTGGGAACCATCTCTTTCTGTGCACTAAGTAGAAAAGTTCCATGAAAAATAAAGAAAAATTGTGAACACGGAACAGTCACCCAAAGAGATTAGGTAATGCTTGTCTGCCAATGTGAACTTGTCCCATACATTAAATGGTGAGGTTTGAACTGTTTTTTAAATAAAATAGCTTAAATTTTTGCATGTGCTGTATCAGTAGCATCACCCATCCTTGTCCTAGCTGATCACTTCAAAATCCGAATGTTTATTCAATTCTCCTTCAACAGGACTCACCTAAAGCACAACTACGTCGAACAATTGAGTGCTGTCGGACTGATTTCTGCAATCAGGATTTACAACCAACGTTACCACCACTTGATAGTACAGGTAAACAGCTCCAAGATGTTCACACTGCTACTAATAAATGCTGTGTGCATTCTGTTCTTCCTGATCAACAGATAAAAATAAGGAGAAAATGTAATTACAGTATTGCGCAGCTCTGTTTTTTCCTTACCAAGTAATTTTGATATGAAGTTCTGTGCTATACTTGATTTCCAGCTCTCCCGTTCTGTCACTTCCAGTTAATCTTTTCCTCCATCAGGCATTTATGGTATTTTTATTGTCTTACTCACATCTTGATCTGTATATGATATTTTGATCTGGTTTTATTCTGTTTCCACAGCCTGTTCTCTTTTCTTTTTAAAATCATTTTCTTAATCTCTGCTGTGCTTTTGTGATGATGAATGTATCTTAAACATAAGTATTCTGACATTGTTAACCATTATCTACTGTAAATTCATTATCTTCTTTCTGCTGTTCCCAGTGAAAATAGTTGATATTTTCATGCACTTTCATTGCCAGACAAACCATACTAGTTTAACTGTTGTTCAGTACCTTCTCAGAGTCTCACTGCTGTCAATCCTTCATTCCTTCTTCTAAGAACAAACTAACAAGTCAACCAAAACCAGCAACTGCAAAATCTCAAGTTAAATCCTTTGTTGTTGTTTTTATTGTCATCCAAATGAAAATACCTCTGCTTTTCTGGCTTAAATACTTACGTTGATACTAGAACTTTATAATATGATTTTGTGTCATTTCATATGAAGTGATATGTTGTATGCATCAGCTGCATTGCTCCTTTCTGACATTTTGCAAGTGACTGCACATACTGCCACAGAATCACAGACTGGTTGAGGGTTGGACAGGACCTCTAGAGATAATCTAGTCCACCCCTATTGCTCAAGCAGGGCCACCTGCAGCTGGTTACACAGGACCGTGTCCAGTTGGTTTTTTATCTCTAAGGAGGGAGACTCTGCAGCCTCCCTGGGCAACTTGTGACACTGCTTGATCACTCTCGTGTGTTTCAGTTTGTGCGCATTCATATACACATTATATTAAAATATCATACTTCTATAAACTGTTTACAATAGAAGTTTAATTAATAGACTTTGAAAACTTCCTTTTTTCTTTTTTCCCTTTTTACATAGATGGGCTTTTTGATGGCAGCATTCGTTGGATGGCCGTGTTGATTTCTATGGCAATCTGCATAATTGTCATGATCATCTTATTTAGCTGCTTTTGTTACAAGTAAGGAAAGCACTTTCTTTATTTGCAACATTTTTCATTTACCAGACGGGTGTAAATGGAACAGTTACTTTCTAAATGTGCTCAGTTAATGGCATGTATTTCTGACAAAAATAGATTGGAAGTGGAGCTGTTGAAATTCATTTCACATTTCTGTGGATAGTAGTTTGCATTGCTAGGTAAAATATAATGTTCATGGTATAGAATTTGAATAAATTTGATCCTTTCCTCTGGCTTCAGAACGTTTACAGTTTTCTAAGCTGTGAATAACTTCCATGCTACAGTTTCCAGTAGAAAGGAATATCTTCATTCTTTTGATGGTTTTGGATCTTCAGTCACTTTTGAGAGTTAAATTCCATCTACTTCTGAGCTTTACCTTTGTAAAGTGCTTTTGCAGACCTAGAGCAACAAGGATATGTTTTATAACTTTTTATGCTGTGTTTCAAAAAATAAGTGACCAGCTGATCTATGGCAGTTAATGCAGGTGCAGTTTAAGACACTGCCTGCTCCTGTCAGCTCCAGCCCTGCGCTGAAGAGGATCATTGTTCTAGCAGTTTCACCAGAAATGTGGATGTATCAGCCTCATCTGCCATGGTTCAAGATTCGGTCTGTTAGTTTAAACCAAAATCAGCTGTGTTGTGCCAGTAACACTGGCTATGAGATGAGTATTAAAAATGCTGGTTTTCCACTTGACTCATAATAAGCTGATGTGCCTCTACATGCATTACAACAGCTTCTTAATAATAAAAAACTATGTAAGTTACATTTTAAAAAAAAAAAGTTACAGTAAAATCTGGGGCTTTCTCCCCCTTTTAAGAAAACTTGTACAATTAAATAGCTTTTTTTCCTAGCTCAGTTTACTGCATATTTTGAAAAGTGTTTTGGAGTTTAGCTTCACTTCTCCTGTTGCTTTTGCAGACATTACTGTAAGTCAATGGCAAAAAGGCACTGTTATAATCGTGACCTGGAACAAGATGAAGCATTTATTCCAGCTGGGGAGTCATTGAAAGACCTTATTGACCAGTCACAGAGTTCTGGGAGTGGATCAGGACTACCGTTGTTGGTAAACCATAAACTAAGACTTTTCTTCACTGAACTTCTACTGAACAGTACAAACTAAGCATGTATGAAAGCCCATCTTCACGTAATTAACTAAAATGAACTGCAAAATTAGATTATATGCTAGGAAATATGTTGACGTCAGCAAAATTTAAAGAAAAATCGAGCCCACAGACATTAAGATAAAATTGCAATGAACTGATAATACAAATATTGAATTGAGCAAACTCAAAGATTTTTTTTCTTAGTGTCCACTGTCTAATAAGAGAGATTTGCTTTTTATTGGCTGATAGCTATTCATCATTTCTTATTCATCATCCTATATAATACTTGCATAAAAATTACCCAGTGAAGCAAATGACTATTTATTTATTAAATAGAAACTTAAATAACTGACTTAAAAAAATCGAGTCCACAGATGTTAAGATAAAAATGCAATGAATTGATAATACAAATACGAATTGAGCAAACTCAATGATTTTTTTTCTTAGTGTCCACTGTCTGATAAGAGAGATTTGCTTTTTATTGGCTGATAGCTATTCATCATTTCTTATTCATCATCCTATATAATACTTGCATAAAAATTACCCAGTGAAGCAAATGACTATTTATTTATTAAATAGAAACTTAAATAACTGACTTAAATAAGAAGGTAGACTGATCTAATCTTTTGGGTTTTTTTATACAATTCTTCCTTGGAAGCAGCAATAGTGAGTTTGAAAATAATATCAAATTTTACAATAGGTACAAAATTCAAAACATTCCAAGATTGAGAAGCAGCTTGTCCAGGTGCTTTTGGTAAATTGCTGGGTTTCCCTTCTCCAGCTTCCTCTCTTTTTTTTTTTTAAATTTTTTTTTTCTTACTTTTTTTTTCCTTCCCTAGGTTCAGCGCACTATTGCCAAACAAATTCAGATGGTGAGGCAAGTTGGGAAAGGACGATACGGTGAAGTGTGGATGGGCAAATGGAGAGGTGAAAAAGTTGCAGTGAAAGTGTTTTTCACCACGGAAGAAGCCAGTTGGTTCCGAGAAACAGAGATTTACCAGACTGTTCTCATGCGTCATGAAAACATCCTCGGTAAGGAAAAGCAGTGCTGTGGCTGCTGGAGGGCTTGTGTGAGGGTGAAGGAGGAAGAGTTCTCAGTGGGTGGCTTGAAGGGCATATGGTGGCTTCCATGGACTAACCAGATGGGTGTCTCTTAATGTATGCTAATAAAATATTGTTACAAGGGTAGAATCTTGCTGCTCTTGGTTGGAAACGTGTCTGTAATCTCTTTGCTGGAAGACTGGAATGGTAACCTCAAGTGTAGTTGAAATCTGACCTTTACATTATTAGTTTTCATAAGAGGAAGGGGTATCTTTTGATACAATCCAAGACAATATAGCTTTAGGAATTCGTACTAAATCTGTTGCATTAAAAAATTACAATTTGTTTTCACCTAACTTTGTTTATATATTTCATAGGTTTCATAGCTGCAGATATTAAAGGCACTGGCTCCTGGACACAGCTTTACCTGATTACAGATTACCATGAAAATGGATCGTTGTATGATTTTCTGAAATGCACTACGCTAGACAACAGAGCACTCCTCAAACTGGCGTATTCTGCTGCATGTGGTCTGTGCCATCTACACACAGAAATTTATGGAACACAAGGCAAGCCTGCTATTGCACACAGGGACCTGAAGAGTAAAAATATCTTGATAAAGAAAAATGGAACCTGCTGCATTGCTGACTTGGGTCTTGCAGTCAAGTTTAACAGGTAGATGAAAAAAATCCTCTAGTGGGAAAACTTTTATATAATTATTTTTTAATGAGCCAGATTTCCAATTTAAAAGGAAGATGAGGTCATTTGGTTACATGTTTTCAGTATTTTTCAGTTCTGAGAGTAAAATGCTCTTTTTCCTTTGAATGCTGGTAAGCATTGAGATGAAAATAGGTTGTTAACAGAATAATGAAAAGATTCTTTTTGTGGAAAATAGAAGTAGTTTTGTAGAGGAAAGGAAGAGGAGACTTCATTCATTATTCAAAACTGGCCTTGCATTGTAATGGCTGTCATTTGTCATAGAATGGCTTGGGTCAGAAGGCACCTTAAAGCTCATCCAGTCCAACCCCTGCCATGGGCAGTGACACCTCCCACCAGCCCAGGTTGCCCAAAGCCTTGTCCAACCTGGCCTTGAACACTTCCAGGGAGGGGGCATCCACAACTTCCCTGGGCAACCTGTGCCAGTGTCTCACCACCCTCATGGTAAAGAATTTCTTACTTTAATCTAAATCTACTCTCAGTCTAAAACCATTACCCCCCATCTCCAACTACGTACTCGTGTAAAAGTCCCTCTCCAGCTTTCCTGTAGGCCCCCTTCAGGTACTGAAGGGCTGCTATAAGGTCTCCCCAGAGCCTTCTCTTCAGGCTGAATAACCCCAGCTCTCTGTCTGGCCTCACAGGAGAGGTGCTCCAGCCCTTTGATCAGCTTTGTGGCCCTCCTCTGGATGCACTACTCTAGCTGGGGGTCTCACAAAAGCAGAGTAGAGGGAGAGAATCACCTCCTTCAACAGACTGACCACGCTTCTTTTGATGCAGCCCAGGATACAGTTGGCTTTCTGGGCTGCAAGTGCACATTGCTGGCTCATGTTTAGCTTTTCATCAACCAACATCCCAAGTCCTTCTCCTCAGGGCTGTTCTCAATCCGTTTCTTGCCCAATCTGTATTTGTCCTTGGGATTGCCCTGACCCAGGTGCAGAACCTTGTTGAACTTCATGCTTTTTGCACAGGCCCATCCTCAAGCCTGTCAAGGGATGCTCTAGGTGGCATCCCTTCCCTCCAGCGTGTCGACCATGCTACACAGCTTGGTGTCATCACCAAACTTGCTGAGGGTGCACTTGATCCCGCTGTCCGTGTTACTAACAACGGTGTTAAACAGTGCTGGTTCCAGTACTGACCCTTGAAGAATGCCACTCATCACTGGTCTCCACTTGGATGTCAAGCCATTGACTGCAACTCTTTGAGTGCAACCCTCCAGCCAACTCCTTATCCACCAAGTGGTCCATCTGTCAAATCCATGTCTCTCCAATTTAGAGACAAGGATGTTGTGCAAGACAGTGTCAAATGCTTTCCACAAGTCCAGGTAGATGATCTAATTTCCTCTTCCCTTATCCACCAATGCTGTCACGTTGTCCTAGAAGGCCACCAAATTTGACAGACGTGATTTGCCCATAGTGAAGCCATGTTGACTGTCACCAGTCACCTCCTTAATTATATAGCATGTGCCTTAGCATAGGTTCCAGGAGGATATGCTCCATGATATTGCTGGGCATAGAGGTGAGACTGATGGGCTTGTAGTTCCCTGGGTCTTCCCTTTTTCCCTTTTTGAAAGTAGGGGTTATGTTTCCCCTTCATATGTTTTCTGTGTCTTGCAAAAGAAGCAGTAAACATCCACTTCATACTATCCTTTTTCTAGGTAATTTTTTTCAGGGAGCTACAGTGTATTTTCTAAGTGTAGTAATGAGAGGGAAATAAAATAAAGAATTTGATTTGTAAATGGGAGCTTTGCAGTGTAGTAATTGCATCCTACAGGATTTCATACCATGTCTTGTAACAGTCTGCAGTTCGCTAACTTCCTAATATTTTCATGCAGTGACACAAACGAAGTTGATGTTCCCTTGAATACTAGAGTGGGAACAAAACGCTACATGGCTCCAGAGGTCCTAGATGAAAGCCTGAATAAAAACCATTTCCAACCATACATCATGGCTGACATCTACAGTTTTGGGCTGATCATTTGGGAAATGGCTCGGCGCTGTGTCACAGGAGGTAAACTTTTAAATATTCTGTATAAAATCTACCAGATCCTTTTCTCCCTTTAATGGTACTCTTCCAGGAAAAAATATAACGAGCCTGCCATATCAACAGGCTTGCACTCTTTAAAAGCAGTAGTAATACACTGTTCAGATTGCAGCTTGAAAATCACTGAACGAAACCTTTTTGATTGTTACAAGTAAGCATCTCAAGGTTTTTTTCCTTGCTTACAAAGCAGAGTACCTGGTCTGGGAGAAATAGTGGGATGCAGATGTATTTCACCTCTGTGCTGTTAATAAAGCTTTAAAAATGTAATTGATAAAATATTATTCTTTTGTTATTCCTTCTTGCATTTCTGGTGTCAATTCAGTTTTCTCCTTACACATATTTTTGTGACTCATCCTTCGTTTTTCTTTCCCTCTTCTTTTGTGACCTTACAGATCTTTACCTGCATTATCTTCTTCCACCTTATGCTTTCTCCCCCTGTCTCTCTAGCATGTGGTGGATTAGATTATGTCAAATTCTACATTTGATATCAAAGTCAAAGGGACTGCAAGGAATTATTGTAGCTACTAAACTTAATATTCCTAATATTGGCGCTTTTCTGGTAAAAGTTTGATTGTTACAGTGAAATTTTTGGATTTTTATCACAGTGTAACATTGTGGTGGGTTTGCTTTGGCACAAAATGGAGTTAACGTTTGCTCCTGGCTAAGGAAATCTCAGACTAGACATGTAGGATTTTTTTTAATGGTTCTTGATTTTTCACAATTTTCTCCAGGTATTGTTGAAGAGTATCAGTTGCCATATTATGACATGGTGCCAAATGATCCATCCTATGAGGACATGAGAGAAGTCGTGTGTGTCAAACGCCTCCGCCCAGTAGTATCAAATAGGTGGAATAGTGATGAAGTGAGTATGCTGAAAAGAAAAATTACTTCTGCTTGTTCATTAATATGGAGGGGTATTTAAAACATTGTAAAATAGGGGCTACATTCAGATGTTCTGATATTTTGAAAACCTCACAGCAACAATAGGAGAAACATATGTTTGAAATCAACTCAAAATACCATATTTTTATGTATCTTTTCGGTGATCTAAGGGGAAGATACCCCTAAGCAGCATCCAAGTGTATGAATACTGTTCCAAGACCTTCTTTTTAGATCGCAGAATATTTTTCCAAGTTGTGATTGGAGCTAAACCTTAAGTTTTTAGTTGGTTTTATTAGTCTCAATGTATATAGTATATCACAGAATCACACAGAATCTTAGGAGCTGGAAGGTACCTCGAATGCTCATCCAGTCCAACCCCCCT